GTGCCACTCCAAAGGCCCCACATGAGGGTTTTGCTCAGGAGACATCCCACCAGTGGCCCTGTGTCAGCACTGGGAACTAGCCAAGGGACTTGCTGGGGTTACCCATGCACAGACCTGGGCTTTGCCTCCAGGCGCCCTCACCACTGCACTCTCTGCTGGCTCCAGGCTGTTTATAAACCACTTTTCTTTTGGTGACATTAGTGAAAATATTCCAGAAATTAATTTGGTTAGTCAAGAAAACTAAATTAATGAGCCTTTGGGAAGTAAGATGCTCATTTCTCAAGGAAATGTTCTCACCCTTCTTCCTCAGCCCACCTACGTGCACTTCCATAAGAAACACTGCCTTCATTTTCAATGCCACTTAAGGAAAATGTTTGTTTTCCATTAAGAACCTAGGAGAAACTCCACCTTCAGCTCTCCCACCTGGCCCCAGCACTGCCACCAGTGACACATTCATATGTCCCAGAGCTGCAACTTCAGCCCATCCTGCTCATGCAGGAAATGATGATGAGAGCAGCATTGGTTGTGATTGCTCCAGCACAGCAGAGCCACACGTGATCTGCAGGACCCCCATTCCCCCTTAGTGCTTTTCCATAAGGAAAAAGCAGGGCCTGTCCAACCAGTGGAATCAAAGCTCATCTTAAGGCGTTAATGAAGAAGGAAAGGCAAGTTTCAGATTAAACAGACAGTATGGGTAGTGCTAGAAACTGAACAATGGAAGCAGGCAAAGGCACGGTCGGACAGAATTCCACTCCCTCAACATTTCAGAAAGCACAGAATAGATGAAATCTTCAAACCAAAAGATACCAGCAATTAAACAATGTCTTTATGGGCTAAAAGGCAGTGTCATGGCCCTGACCTCTGGCACTGTGGCACTGCAGGGCTCTCCCAGCCCATGCTCCCCTGTGCCCTGTGCCAGAGAAAGGGGCTCCCTCCCGCTCACACAAAGTTCTGGGTTTTTGAAGTGAAAAGGCTGAGCCAGAGCAGGATACCTCCATCCTGCCGCCCCTGGCTCGTTCTTCCTTAAGATTTTTCTTGGTCTATAATTTCATTTCTGAGAAGCTTTATCTAGAGAAAAACTGTTACCAAAGGGGCTGGGTTACAGGTCCTTAAGGAAAACAACACCAAACTGAAAGCACCAAGGTGCAGTGAGGGGTGAATCAGAGAAGTCCCCACCAGCACTCGGACTGGGCGCTCCTCTCACAGCCGGGGGCCTGGCCAAAGCTGGGACATAGGCAGAGCAGCTGTGTCACAAGAAAAAGGCATCTGCTTATCGCCTGTGCTGCTTTGGAAATCCGGGACGCGCCTGCGGCCCAAATATTTCCTTTGGGATGTTGCAATAAGGGCTGCTGGCCGGGCCGGAATGGCTCCTCCGTGCGGCCCGGCAGCGCAGCTCTGCCCCGCAGTCACGGCCGCTCGCCCTCGCTGCTGTCTGGGCACCCAGACAGCTGCCTGGCTGTATTGCAGGGCTCCGACATGGAGCTCTGGGGAAACCTGGCCCTGAAACAAAGCGAGTCCTACGCCGCAGTCACTCCTAGCAGGAAGCAGCCCCGCGGCCGGGCTCGCCCCGCGAACCACCTGGGCCGGTTGTTCCGGCCGCAGCGCATCGCGGCACTCCCTGGGTGCCGATGGGATCCGGGGCACAACCTGCCCTGCCCACACAGCCACGGCCAGCGCGGGCATTGCCCAACCCACGGAGCTTTGAGCAACAGCAGCGGGCAGGGGCAGCGCCCAGCGCCGGCGTTCGGCTGACGGGCGCTGAGGGAAGGGCGCGTGTCACCGCCGCGGCCTCTGAGGTCATGCCGGACGTGGGAGGTGCCGCCTCAGCACGAACCACTCCCGAGTGCTGCAGGTAGCCTTTCCTTATCACCGGCATCCCAAACCGCCGCACCAGCCACCTGCTGTCACCTGCCTTTCCTCCTGCACCTTCTCGTACCGTAACCACCAGCGACCGGCGTGAAGAGCTCTCTGGGCTCCGCTGCGGCTGGTTCTCGGAGCTCAGGCACTGATCCCCACCCTCCGAGCACATGTCTTAAGCTCTAGCTGGGAACAAACAGCTGGAACACACAGAGGTTTGGAGATCAAGTTCTGCCCCTGTACAAATATTTTTAGTAATGAAAATAAACAAATACAGGGAGTAACATGCTGCTTCCTGCTACTATGCTGCTTCTAGGAGGAGACAAGCTGCCAGAGAGCCTGAGCAAGCCCCAAGTGGGTGACATGTGGGTGATGGCTCACATGAAGCTGTTCCTTTCCAGAGGCCACACAACTGCCCAGCCTTGCAGACCAGCAGGTATTGCTAAGGCAGAAAATGCTGCCCAGCAGCAGTCCCTTGGTGGAAGGAGAATCACAGCACCTCTGCAACACATAACCCCTCATGCCCCTCTTCCACCAGGTTCCTGTGGGGACTCCAGCCCCATGGGATGCTCCACATTGGACTTTCCGTGCCACTCGGGGCAGGAGCTCTCAGTCCTGTTCCTCAGTGCTGAGCTGCTTGTCCTGTAATGTCTGTTCCTTCCCACTGACCACTGCAACAGGAAAATTAACCACCCCTTTGGGAGAGCTACCAGGCCCATTGGGCACAGATGATTTACCTTCCAGCTCCTCTGCCAGAGGACTCTCAAAGCAAAGCCACTGCTGCTGGGGAATCAGGTTCTGCTCCAAAAGCCTGGACAGATCCCATTGGATTTGAACTTGTGGTTCTTTGGCAGTCAAAACAGACAAGCGCTGCTTCCAGTAAAGAAGCATCTCCAGCCAGCACCAGCAACTTTCACAAACCCTAAGCACTGGTGTATTTAGATCTGCCTGTAGCAACAGCTAAGATGATCTTGTACAGGGGGAAGACAAGAAGGCTGCAGGGATGGTGTGCAAAGCCTGTAACTTCTCCTGTACCACAAAATAAATGAGGGGATGGCTGGAACAGAATGTGCATGCTGCAGCACATAAACAGAAATGTTCCTTACAGCACAGAGACTCAAAAGTCACATGTATCTCCAGGCTCTCTCTTACTTTTACCTCCAACTACAAGGCCACTATTTTTTAACAATAAATGTTTGAGAGAGAAGAAAGCAACAGCAGCTCAGCAAAGAGCTGTTAAGAGCTCTGTGCTTTTGTGCAGCCAACACATCAAGCTGCTTCCCACCCCTGGATCCAGAAATTGTCCTGTGGTTACTCTGCTCTAAGCCACACAGAAAATAATCATATCCTCTTCTGCAGACCCCTGGGAATAATGTGGGAGATGAGAGACGCCGTGGTACTCGGGTGCCTGTGGCTTCCTTCCTGCCTTTGCCTCAGCTAAGTGAATTAGCTTTTGCTTTTGTTTCAGGAAAATTAAGGGAATTACAGAAAAGGAGCAACAATACTTTAAAAATATTGCCTAGCAAGTGTTATGTCCCAGTCTAGCTGGAAAGTTAAAAAATAAATAAATTCTGGGCATTAACATCAACATTTTCTGGATGCTGCAGTGATTACACTGCTGAATTTACTGCTCACATCATTGCTGCCAAACACCCACACAGACACATGACTCCAACTACTCTTGCCATCCCCGTCAGGAGGACACCTCATGACCATCTACTCTGGTAACACAAAATTCTCTGCCCTCTGTCAGGTGCACTCAGCCCAAGAAGCCCTGTAGGAGGTCTGACAGTGCACAGTGCACATCTCAGTGTTCCATGACAGAACTCCCGGCTAAAGCCCAGCATCTCCTGCTGCAGACTCTGCTGGAGCTGCCTGCTTGACACCTTCAGTGCTGCTGTGGGACTGCAGGGTCTGCCTTGTGAATCCATCATGGAACAGTTCACCAGGCCAGCAAAAACCCCGTGTTATCAGTATTAAAAGGCAAGGAATCCGTGTTAATTGCCTTTGTTGACTCACCCACACGGAGCACTGAGCCATTGACACTGTGTTACTTGGGATGCCAGCAGGGAAGGCAGTCAGAGCAATTCATCCCTGCACACAGGGAAACCTCAGGGTGGTGTTACCAGGACCAGTTTAAGCACCCTGAGTCAGTTGTTGTGGCCTTCATTCCTCTGAGAGGGGACAAATTCCATTCTTCCAAACACTCCCATCATGGGCATCCTTTTAAATGACTTGGCAGGTGCAAGTGGAAATCCTAGAAGACTCCAGTGCTGTCTGGCTGTGCTGAATGTGGGACCCAGAGCATTCTCTGGTCGCTGCAAGACAGGGCTTGGGGACACTGACCTCAGCTCATCCCTCAGCTCATCCTGCACCTCGCATGTGGCAAGGGCACCTGGGGCAGGTATGTACCAGGGCAGGAATCCATGTAGCATTTATCAAAAATAGAAGATGCAGCTGCTTTGAGCAACAGTTTCCATTTTCTGTTTGTCCTTTTTCCATTCTTTGGGAACACAGGACCTTATTTAACCCAGATGCTTTAAAGCATCATTTATACACTCTGCTACACCTTCCTAATTGTTTTTCCTGTTGCATGATTATTACTTCACTTTTCTTGGCAGCACTGCTATCACAATTTAAACTTAGATTTAATAAAACCTTAAAACAACTCCTCAATAACCTTCATTCCTGTGCAGCAGCCCAGAGAGACAGAGAAGGGATTGTACTCAGGCAGATGGGCACAAATGCAGTGACAAGCACAATGGCAAACACATCTGTGACAAACTTCCTTGCAAGTCACTTTAGGAACGAATGTATGAACCAGTGGAAGACAATGGCTTTCTGCTTATGTTGTTCACTTCACACAAAATCAAGCATCAGGACCTCCCTCCCAGCTCACTATTGCCTTCTGGGGGCCAACAACATTCACAGCTGAAGGGACAGCAAGTGCAATCACAAATTCCTATTTGAAACAATTAATTCCTTATGAAATCCCAAATTAAAATGGCTGCAGCACTGCCAAGTGCCAGAATCAATGCCCCAAAAAGAGGAGCTGAGAGGAGACAGTTGTAAAATGTAACATGGTTCACTCACCCACAGACTCAAGGCACATGTCAAAAAAGGGACACATAAGGTACCAGAACTAAACTGACATACTGTATTTATTGCACAAATTTCCCCTAAAATTGGGAATGGTTATTATAATACAAGTGCACATCTTGGGAAATATATACAAAAACAGAAGAGATAACAAGTATGTACATTTTACCCAGCATTTTACAAGTACCACCATCTAAATAATTTAGAGAAAGCAAAAAATTGTCATAAAACATCTCTAAGAACTAATAGGGAAAACATATGCAAGGTGTAAAATCTGTCCTTTTAAACAGTTTTTTGTTCTTAGCAGCCCAGTGTTTGCCAATTGCAACAAAATCAAATTTGCTAATTTGTGTGCCTAGTATAATTAGGTTTCAGCCAGAAAATTAAGACATGTTAATAATGGAGATTGGGAATAGTGGAAAAAATAAATCAAACATTAGTTTTCTATTCACATAAAAGAATAGTGATATATTTTAAAAAGTCAATTCTATATCCTGTAAAAATCCCTTTTCATATTTAACAAACAGACATACGTACCACATTGTTCACGTACCCAAAAAGTTCACTCACAGGAAAACTTCCCATCACACAAGGGTTTGGTTGTGTTCTGCCCACAACACTGCTGAGAGGTGGGGAGGCTGCTGCCATGCCAGGAGGGACTGTGGGAGGATGATGAGGAAGCTGCATCCATGGCTGCTCTGTCTGGGGCTGACTGAGCACACCAGTAATGCCATTACTGGCTGGTGCAGAGGGCAGCAGAGGAGGTGCCACTCAACAGCCACCTCCTTCTCCTCTCAGGGCAGCCATCACTGCAGGCCGTGCAAGGGCCTTTCTGGAGAGTCAAACCCATTTCAAAGTGACCCCAACAATTTGCACAATAAAGGCTCAAAGGAGGACCAGGATTCTCCTGTAAGGATCACTGTGAGCACAGTGCTGGGGGATGCCAGGGTGAGGGGGCAGCTGCCCAGCTCTCTGGACACATGCTGTGGATGAACTCACCCACAGAACCTCCCAAGGCACAGGCAGGAACCCTCCTCTGGCAGCCCCAGCAGCACAGACACTGCCAGGTCACTGTGCCAGTCTGTGCACAACATGGTATCCAACTACTGCCTGTACCACATATCCTAGCAAAGAGTTAAACATCCATGTTCTGAGTGCAATCCTATATTTCATTTGAAAAGTGTTTACACAACTGGGCCCCTGTTTTGTGCTCATTCCAAAAGCCAGATGTAATATAATTGTGTGGCAAGGAAAGGACATTTGAAAAATGGGAGAAACAAATCCTTGGATCACATATTAAACACGAGGTTTTCCCCTGCAGCAGTCAGCATTAGATTTTATATACAAAAGAGTTTCCAATGACACTGCCTGTGTGAATGTTGGGGTCACTTCCTGATGTAGACTCAGTCCTACATGGAAGGGAGGAGTGGGTTTGCCACGTAGATCTCCCTGGAACAGAGTTTTAGGTGACAGATTTTAAGTAGTACTGAAAAACTACTCCAGGTGAATCCTGGCCCCAGAGAAGGAAAGGAGGAGAGTTCTGTCACTGACAGAGGTGGGGCAGGGATCTCTCCTATTGTTTTCAAGTTTATCAAATGGTTAAAATAGATTTGTACTTAAAGTAACTCTGCAAACAACAATAGCAGGCGTGCTGTACTATTGAAAAGATGATTACAGAATGATGTATTTATAGAAATTTTATAGAGTTTAGCGACCAAGTGAATACATGTCTCCTACTTGTGTGGATAATCCATGAATTTCAATATGCTAAACCTAACAGATGAAAACAGAAGCTAAAAATCAGCAACATTAATTGGCTGCTAGGACAAATATGGAAAGCAAAGCCTAGAATGAAGTGTCCAGTTAAACTGAGGTAGTAGAGCCTTCGAACACATAATCCACCTCCCACTGTCTATTTACATTACTTACACCAGGTTGGGTCCATCAGCTACTCGTACAGCTATTGTATATACAATGACAAACCAGTGATGGCTGAGTAAAAGAGAAATGCTGAGAATAAAATGAACAACATTTCCTGCTGGTAATTACACAAGTGAGTAGAAAAGGGATTAGAGTTATCTGCAGCAAGGGTATATTTGTCAAAAAATAATTTGGATATTATTACACTATGGTGTAATCAATTTTCTTTTTTTTGCTTTGTTTTAAAAAATGTATCAATTTGTTACCTGAGCAATTAAGGGTAATAGTCTACTCATTCTTTCCCCAATGCTTTGGTACAATTATTTCTTGTTCATTATTTCAATAGCTGACTGACTGCTGTAAAAAGAATATGATGGTCCAAGATTTTATATATCATAAAAAAGTTAGAGGTAATTGTCATGTCATTCTGGGGAACCCATGGGGAAATTTCAGCCAACGTTCTCTTTAGATTATTTTTGTTTTTAACATTTTGATTACGTTGACGAAGAAAAGCATCATTTAGTATAAAGCAACATTTAAACATTATAAACATTTAATACTGGTTACAGCATCCAGCCAAGAATCTCCATCGCTAGTTTGTCTGTTGGCCTCTTCCTCTGTTCTCCCTGTCGCCCTCTGTCCCCCACTATTTCCTCTTCCCAGGAGAAAGATCATAAATAAATTCTGTAGCTGACTGTCATTAATAAGTTTCTTACAAAAAAACCCCAGGCCTCTGCCCTGTTATTCCTCTGGGAAGTATTCAGAATTGGACTATGATGTGAAAAAGTAGAAGTTGTTTACAAATCATTGCAGCTTGAGAATTACAGATCCTAATGTGATCCTCATCAGCTGCAGCCTGGCTGAAGGCAGCTGCTCTCAGTTCAGTTTATAAGGGGTGATGGTATCATGTATTTCTCAGAGCAGTTCTTCCTCCATTCCCCAGTATAAGTCACAGTCAGCCACTGTGGCAGAAACTGCTAAAAAAATGCATGTCTTCAGCTTTGCTAAAATCTCCGCTTTTCTGTGGTGGAAATCTTGGGCTTACTCAGTTTTCCTTTCTCCTTTCTTTATCCTTTTTTATAAATTGCTAAGTGGGAGAGAAGTCTCCAACTGTTTGCACACCATGCAGTCATATATGGAGGTGCTGCAAGCTCAACAAGCAGTTTGTTTTACTTGCTGCAAAGAGAAAGGAGCCAGAACAAGTTGTCTTCCACTTTGTTTCCAGAGAAGCAAAAAGTCAAAGTCTGTGGCCTCTGGCATTTTAAAGGAGGATCTGGGCAACGTACGGAGAGTGAGTGCTTGCTACAGCTGCCAGCAAGGGGAGGTCGCTGGATTCAATCCTGAAAGGAAGCAGAAGAGTCATGTTTAATCCAGCCTGAAATGTCACTGGGCTGAACACGTGTCAGAACCCACACCGCCTGCTCGAGCCCCAGCACTTGCACTTGGGCCATGGGTTACACACTGCAGCTGCCAGATTGCTCCTCCCACCCCTCCAGATGTGCCTGCTCCCACAGTGTCAGCACTGCCCGAGCTCCCACCTGTCTGGTGGGGTTTTAACAGGGCCAACAAACTGGTGAGGAAGCAGATGGGGGAAGGAAAATTCCTGCTTAACTTCAGGGTAAAGGGAATAGTAGCTGGGGGACACAGTACAGGAGCAGAGGACCAGCTAAAGCTGCCATGTCCACACCACACATGGTCTATGTCCTTCCTGCTCATGCTGCACTCCTCTGCAGGAAAACATACTCAGAGCCTTCCTATAAACACCCCTTAAATAGCTCCTCTGCCCATGCCCCACACCCACAGAGAGGTATTATGTGCCTTACATGACACAGGGAGTGTTTCCTGCCATGTAGGGAAAGTCAACCTGGAGGAATCGGGTGCCCCATGCTGTTCAGTGACGACTGACCAACTAAGAAGGGAGTTTGATAAGCTCCGGAGTGCTGAGCCCATCCTCCTGCCCGCAGGGAAGACAGAAAGGCTGGGGGATCCTTGTGATTGAGCAAAGCCTAAGGAGAAGCCTGAAGCCATGGGTAACTTAGGAGTTCCAGTCCCAATTAGGAATCCATTTTGCCGTGCTTAGGAACAAGCCCAGGCGGAGGGTGTGGCACCAGGACACCCAGGGTAGCACTGCTGGGAGAAGGTTGTGACCATACCCCAGCACCACGCCCAGCTCCTTGACATGGACTCTCATCTGGCCCTTCAGATACTCAGACAGCATCTTGCTTTTGAAGTAGAGCTCCTGCAGCCGATCTTCCAGGTGCATCACACACTAAAAAAAGCAAAAGGAGTTGTGTCAGGGAGAAGACAGAACCAAACCAGAAAGCACAGATCCCACACCCCTGTTGACTGTTCTGTGGCTGTGTCTAGGTGAGATATTCACTGGCAGGACTTTCATTTTTGAGCAGAAGCCTTTGATTACATGTTAAATCAAAATTAATGAGGCAGCTGTTTTGATTAGAGTGGCATTTCAATAGGCATCACAAACAGCTACACCAGAAGTTGCACTGGCTATGAAAACAAACACTAGGCAGAGCCTTACGTATCTCTAACCTGGGAAGTTAAAGGGTGCTTCAAAACCATGGCCCTCATGATTTTCATTTAGACTTACAAAGTTTGGAGATAAATTATGCTTGTAAAGCTGAAGAGTGGAATGAAGCAGGTTGGAGACGAGACTGGAGACTAACACTTCTTTTCCTAGTTTATTCTCAATCATTCGCCTCTGGCTACTGGCCACTTGCACCGTCCACTTGTCCGTGTCTGCAATAATGCAGACAGCTTCTGCAATGGGCTCGTCCAGAACAGGATGCTAGGAACAAAAAATGAAGAGCAGAGCCCCAAGAATGACAAATGACAGCACTCTTTTCACAAAACTTTTCACAGAAATATCCATCCTGGATATTAGGACAGCATTTCTGGATAGCAGGATAGCATCCCAGACACTGCTTCACCTAAAATACATTTGCCCACATTGCATTCCATCCATTAAAACCAGCAGGGTTTTGTGAACAAGGTACAGTCTTAGAAGGATAGTGGCTATTTTATCTTTTCTTACAGGCTTTAAAGCATGTCACTGGCTGACAGTTACATCTTTTGGTATTTGATATAAAGAATTCTAATATATCTAAAGTGTATTTTAAACTCCTAAAACTGAAAGCACCAGAAATCCAGCTTGCTGTTTAGTGTGTTAACGAGGTCAGATCATTCCCAGCTGTCACAGGTTTTCCTTCACGGGAGGCCAGCAGAGGGAGTTAGGAACCAAGCCTGTGCCTTGCCATTCCCCCCTGCTGGCGTTCCACCGCTCCAAAGCCACGAAAAAGGGTTCAAAAAGGGAGTATTTGGAAACCCACTCTCCTTCCCTAATAAATTTTCTGGCTGAACTGTTAGCAATTATCTGCTTCCAAGGAGTCAGCAAGGGCATGCAGAGAAGGGCTGCAGGTCTAATGCACACTGTTGAAGTGAGTAGAGAAAAGGGATTTTTTTTTGGAAGGTGTCAGGAAAGTGGCTGCTCAGCAGCCTGTTTTTCCTTATTCTCTGGAGACTAAACTAGATGGGAGCAGATGTCACACTTTCAGTGGCAGCCTGCTTTCTGCTTCTTTCCTGGTAAAAGGGGGAGGAAATACCAACTTCCTAGACATGGCCCAGTTCATCTAGGGGAAAACTGCTGTGGAGGAGAGATGATCTCCAACACGTCAGAAGCACGAGTTCCCTTCAGACCATTATCTTTACTTTGGTTTCTCCTTTTCCAATGAAGACAGTGCTATTGGACACATGGACTACCATCCTGAAGAAGGAGCAATGTCTCCAAAATACTGAGCATTTGTGACAGAGAACACATTCTGCTGTACAAGCAGCAGCACATGAGTCAGACGTGCAGGGACAGAGGGAGCAATGAGAGCTTCTGCACCACTGCAGAAGGACTCTGTGCCCAGGGAGAGAGGCACAAGCTCAGAATATGGGCTTGTTTAACATCATTCCATCCTGTGGGGACACAACCATCAGCTGCCAAGCTACAGGAGACAGTGATACAGCTCAGCACTGAGATCCATCTTCCCAGGGCACAAGCCTCCCAGCTGGCTTCAGTGGGAGTCTCATCTTTCATGCTGCAGAATTGCAGTGAATCCATGTTTTTCAGATACATTAATTGAGAGAGGAGAAAAATTGGTGACCTGGGACTGGAGAAATCTGACAGGAGCTGTGACAGGAAATATTTCCACTTCCAGCAGGTTTGTACCTTCACAAACATTTATCTTTCCCTACTGTGAGAAATACATTTACCAAATATAGCTTAATTACCTGCACAGCATGAGACAAATCTGACACCAAACAGTGCCTCAGCTTTTCATCACTTCCTATTCCTTGCAAAACAAAGTCAGGGACGTAAGAGGAACAGTAGCCTCCTAGTAAGGATCTTCCAAAATTGGCAATACTGGGCTGGACAGAGTTGACTTCAACTAATTTTGACCTGCAAGAAAGGCATATCAAAGAGATGTACAACAGTAAACAGCAAATTCACCTTACATAGGATGCACTTCTACTTTTTTCATATCTCTTCCAACTTGAAGTCAAGCACTTTTAAAAAAGTTTACAGTCAGCTTTTGCAGTCAGCTTGTCATGGAAGCAGAGAATACAAGCCAAGATCACAATACACCATTAGTATTTTTTTCCAGACAACTGATCTCTCAATATTCCTCAACAACCAGTAAGCTCAAGAGACACTTTTCCAACCCCTGATGCCAAGTTAGGCTACAGTCCTCCAAATATGTGACATGAGAAGAGGCTCCATCTTTTTTAGGCTCTGTTAGGGCTGAACAGTACTTACCCAGGGAAGGGAATCTCATATTCCTCTGCCCAGTCTTCTTGCTCTCCTCCATAATAGTTACTGCCCAGTCTAGTTAGATCATGGCCTGTATCCTCACTCTCGCTGTCACCCAGGGCACTGTCTGAACTCTCATTTCTTGGAATGTCCCAATCAATTCCCGGGGCCACTTTTTTCTCTACGTTTTCCCTGTCCCCATGGGGGACACGAATAGAGATTTTCTCTCTTTGGTCCTGCTCATTAAAGCAGTTTTTGTAGGTCTCTTGTCGAACAGAGTCCATAAATTTACAAAATTCACTAGGTGGTTTGCAAGCCTTTGTACAGAGCTTTTTAGAAAATTCTAAACTACTGTTGTGAGCAAGAAGGTTTGCAGCTGCTTGCCCTGGAATATCATCAGTAGTCTGGGTTTCAACTGAACTGTCATCAGTGAAATATTCACCAAACAGACTCATGCTCTCAGCACTGTATGGGTTTGAGTTCCAGCTCTGATGCTCAGTAGCAACTTGAGGAAAGGGTTCAGCTGTCCCACAGTCTCTATTTTGGTCCTCAACAGTTTGTTTAGCTTCACAGTTCTGATCAGCAGACACTCCTGCCTCCGCTGCTGGCGGGCTGTGATGCCTGGCAATTTGTTCCACTACTGCCTGACTTCTCAGTTCAATGTCTGAGTCAGGTGACATGGAATCTCCGATGAGGAAAGTCACCTTTGTCTGAGCCTCGGCAGCGCTGCAGGGGAACGTGTCCATGAAGAGCTTATCAGGTGGCTTCTTCTCCACAGCAATGCCAGGTGTCCTTGTGCCCCCTCCTGCCTGGCTGCCCGCCTCCAGAGCATCCTCGCTCCTCCACGCGCTGCCTGCTGGCTCCAAACAAGATTCTGTCCCCACGCATTTCTCGGGTGAAGCTGACCCTGTGCACACCACAGTCTCTAGTTTGGTATCCAGGCAGGGCCTTGGCTGTGTCCCATCCACGGCATCTTCCTGGCAATCCTCAGGAACAATGGTTCTGTTCTCATCTGAAGAAGATTCCAGCTCTACCTTCGGAGTGCTTTGCATGTCTTCTCTCTCTTGCTGTGCAACACCTTCTATGTTCTGTGCGAGGGAAATGGGACATTTGCAGTATTTACAGCTGCAGTTGGGAGCTCTCAGCTCTTCAGACTCAGTGGGGAGCAAGTTGCCCCTGTTCTTGTGCATCGTGACAAGCACATACTCAGACTCTTCCACTTCTCCCTTCTCCAGCGTGGTAGTGATCACAGTGCCAGGCATGACAATGGCCTCATCTTCCCCATTTTCCAGCAGGTGTGTCTCTTGAAGTTCAGAGCATCTGATGAAGTAAGTGAGGAAATAAAGCAACCTCTGGACCAGGTCATGTCTTTTGCCAACCACGACAGTTTTTGCTAATCTCACAGGTGATCCTATGGCCCCATACAGGTCACCTAGGACAGGAAATTAAACACACAATTACTTGGATCTTTGCAATAATTTATTCTTCTAACACACAGCTGTTGGGCTGGTTTTCAAAGGCCAGGTCTATAAGAGAAATACTAAAGCAGTAGAGTTAAAACAGCTGTGCTGTATTTTGTTTTCAGTAAGAGAATCCCAAAGATGCTGCTGGTATGATCTGTAAGGTGAGCCAGTGGTCAGGGGGACATCTGATCTCACACATCAGGGAGCATTCACACCACCTCACTCCAGCTTTGGAGGCTCATCTCCTGGGATCCTTATACAGCCATGGGAGAGAGGAGGCATCTGTGCCAAATTACCCTGGAGAGTCTGGAAAGTGGGCTGGACTTTTACCCACAAAAGAAAGCTGTAGAAGAAACAAACCTATGCCAGGAATGAGGACAAAAAGTGACCATGACAGCTGCATGGCTCAAGCCAACCTCCTTCTCTTGCCCTCCTTGAGTTCTGCTGTGGGTTGGATGGGGTGCTCTGGCTGTACTCGAGTCACCTGGGCAAGTGCCTGTGTGCTCTGGAGGTATGAGGGCACTGCATCACTGCAGGGCTGAGGGGACAAGTGTCCTCTTGAAGGCCTCCCTCACCACAGTGGGTCCCTCAAGCCACATGAGGCCTGAAATCAAGTTTTCTTGCCAACACCCTGGCCATTCCTACCTGTACAATAATAGGACAACCTCACAAAACTTTCCTTGCTGTAAAGCTGCTGGGGGTTCAGAGGTATTTGCCACCTACCAAGCTGAGCCCACAGTGGGTTGTAGGGATGAGTTTTGGCCAGCATGTCCACACTCTGGGAAGAATGCTTCTCCAGGAAGATCCTTATTGGGGGCTGGCCATTGGGCATGACAGTGGGGACCCAGGCCAGGTGGTTGGTCAGCACTGCAGTCAGCAAAGCTGGTAAAAATCTGAAAGCAAAATGTTCAACATGTTTTTTCTTTTTCCAGATATACACTCAAGATGTTAAACTGACAGCAGCTCTAGTCTATATGGATCAAGGATTAAAGAAACAGCCTGATAAAATCAGCAGAGATCATCCCTCCAGTCTTGGTTCCTTGGGGAGAGAAGGGGTGGCTGGACCCTCCCTCCCACCCTGGCAAAGCTCTTTTTTGGAACACACATTTAAAGTAAAATGAAATATTTTAACTTTGTGGCATCTCACTTACTCTGTTTGGCAATAATTATAAGACTTCCTATTTTGCAAGTTTTATGTTGTAAAACATCTCAAAACCAATTTATTTCACTCACTGTAAGAAAGCAGTGGCACTGTGTGGCCCCTGTACTCCAAGGAGATCCCAAACCCCTTGTGACTGTGGATGAGAAGGAAGACTATTGCTACCAAACCTGTAAAACAGCTGGGTGCTGTGTTCTTTCACCTAACTATTGTGCAATTTCAGCCCATATGGCTGCTCCTTTTCAAAAATAATCCCCACAAAGTTCTGTAACTCAGCCAGAGAAGCTGTGTTCTTAGGCTGGCAAAACAGTTTTCACTGGCTAAGCAATTGAGGTGAAAAAACTTCCTGAAAAACATGAACTATCTGATTTACTGCCATGATAGAGCAAGGTTTCTGCTCTGTGGAGTTTTACCAGTTGGTTTTGCTGGCAGGAGCTCGCCCAGGAGGCTCCACACACCAACACATGGTGCTGTTGTGGCTCAGTGGCTCATGTGTGGGGAGGAAAAGAGCCAAATGTCTCAAAATGGTGTTATTTGAATAATTTACAAGCATCAGGAACCCTACAGCTTCCATGCAGCCACACTAGAGACAGCCAAAGGAGGACGGGAGATTTAAAACTAGATTGGGAAGGATAAAGGTTTCCATCACTTAAAATCTTATTATATTTAAAATAAAGAAAACAAACCCAAATAAATGACTATTTAAATGTAACCAGCATGTACAGGACTCAGAATGGCAGGGATCAAAGGAGACAACCCCAGCAAAGAGCCTCCACTAAAGCAGGAACTGATCTTTAGAAAATACATCAGCACCCCTCACAACTCCCTGTGGTTTCTTCCATTGCCCTGGGCAGGAGCAGGCAGAGCACAGTGACCACTGTCACCCTCACCTCAGGGGACAGGAGAGGTGACAAAGGTGGTGGCAGAGCTGGAGGATGGGAGCAGCAGCCCCTTCCCACCTGCAGGGAGCAGTGCCCCTGACCAAACATCTGATCTGCTTGTGCCATCCTCACCCAAACTAGGTCTGTGCTCTTTTTAGGACTTTAATGGAGATAAACCCTTTAAAAACTTCCCCTACTCATGCCCTGAGGAAAGGGGATAAAGTATTGACAAAAGAGTAAATTTATCAGATTTTCCCCAGTTTATCAGGAACTTTCTTTCTTTCTTTTTCAGTTTTCAACATCTGCTCACAGCTGGGGCCTGAGGCCAGAGAGGTGAGTGAGCATTAAAGAGCACAGCAGTTCTTTAGTGGCCTTTCAAAATGATATTTAAGGTTTGTGGTCTGACAGTATTACAGACACAGCTCTTCCTGAATGTATAATCCTGCTCATCACATGATAACTGATTCTGAAAGATAAGTTAATGCATTTTGTAAGGTATCTTCACCCCCTTCCAGACATCCACACAGATCACACACTTCCTATGGACATGTTCCAGATTTTCAGCCTCTATCAAGATGTAGAGGATTGTGAGGAAGCAGGAATTTAATGAGATAATTTCTTATTTGTTTCAAAAAGAAGGTATTCACGGATGGCCTTTTGATTCTCTCATTACCAGGATTTTAACAACTGATTTAAACATTGGTTTGAAATAGAAAGGCACAATCACATATGTAATTTAGAAACTAAAATCCACCATACTGATTTTTAGAAGCATTTTCCATCAAGAAAGTGAACTCCTTCATGAAGCGATGGCACAGCTGGTTCTTCTCTGGTGTCCCTGACATCATGGTGAGCCAGACAGGCTCCCCAATCCGTGGCATCGTGTAGAGATTGCAAATAGTTGTTCTAGAGAACAAAACCAGAAAAATCCAGGAGGTTAAAGAAAAAAAACCAAACAAAAAGAAGCCCAAAGAAAAAACCTAACAGCCCCCAAAAAACCAAACCAAACAGAAAACCCCAAACAACAACAAAAAGTAGAAATCTCAGTTTAAAAGAATTCTGTGCAACATGTAATCCAGCTCTCATTTCTATCAGAAACAAAATTTCTCTCAGCAACCATTATCCAAACCATGTTGTTCATTAAATAGCACAAATTCAACCTTTACCTCAGAGAGCTGAACCTCACAGGTTCCTCCTGCATCCACCTGCCCTGATCCCAAACACAGCAACATTCCCTGGCACAAGTCAAGAGCTGCCCTGCTCTGAATGAAGAAGGAATGGATCATTTCTTCTTATCTCCTTGCTTGTTCTTCATTTCATTCAAAACAAACTTCTGCTTTATTTATGACTAGGACAAGATTGTAGGTATCTGACTTATAAAAATACCTTAACTTCCTCCTTGCTTTAAAAACTTGGTGAATCTCCAGGCCAAACCTATGAAGTGTGGGTGTGTAGAGCAGGGAACCTGTTCACATCTTTAGCTTTAAATAGAGAGGATGACAGTAAAGGCACCCTGTGGCTGTACCTATTACACACTCACCACATCCTTTTTGACTCTACAGAGGACAGTAAATGTATGATTAAAAATTTGCTCTGCAGTAAAATACCAGATTAAAATCCCTCAGATTACTGTTAAACTCCTCTAAAATATAAACAAGTTATAGTTTAAAGTACAAAGCCTACATTAGGACACTATGGGAAGCTGTCTTTCTAACACAGTAAAAATGTAAGCCTGAAAAAGCCCAAAAGGACAGGAGAAATGACTGATCAATTCAGGTTTCTCCCTGCCTAATGCACTACTTTTTCTAGGCAAAGTATTTTTCTTTTAAAAGGCAAAGATATACATTACCCCATTATCCCTAGCACCACCCCTGATTTATAAAGATCTTCTATCTTCTTTTTTATGGCTATAGAAACTTCTGAACTTCTATTATATCTTATATATCTTCTCTGGATATCATGGTCACAGAATTTACAGACACTTTCAGCAGCAAATTCACAGACACTTTTTGCCTGTGCAGAGCAGGCAGGCAAACACACTGGAGCATCAGCTGTCAAATCTCCCATGGTTTAGGGTTTAAAGTGAAGCTCCCAGGAAGTGAGAGCTGCACATCAGCAGCAGCAGCAGAGCACATCCCACCCCGGGGAGGAGGGAGGCAGCCCCAGCCCCTGGGCACAGAAGCAGCTGGGTAGTGACTCCAGAGCTGCTCCCCAAAGGGCAGCACAGGTGACTGAGGTCACCAGGGCTGCTCCTCAAGGAAGAAGGTGAGGGGGCAGTGGCTTTCTCTGCTTTACTTTTCCTAACAATTTTCATCAAATACCAAATCCATTCTCTGTGTTCACAACAGCCAAAATGAACCTTGTCTTCTTCAAAGGTTAGACCTTCAAATCCTCCACTGCCAGAAGCACGATGAGAGCACCACAGAAGTGTCAGTGTGCTGGAGAGGGGACAGCTGAGCTACCTCTGCACTCCCCAGCCCCCAGAGGCTCTGCTGGGTCACTTTGGAGCAGCCTCACCAGCTGCTCCATTACCCTCTGCTGCTGGTCCTGTCCTGGGAGGGAAACCCAGGCTGGTGAGACCTGAGCACAAGTCCTGCTGCCTAGACAGGAGTGGGGCACACAGCCAGGGACACCAGCCCTGCCTCTGGGCACCAGAGGGTCTCCAGCAGCACAAACACTCTCCAGGTACTGGGACTTCATTCCTCTGCAGGGGTAACCTGGGACTGGGGAGGGTTTATTAGGGGAAAGCTTTCTGTTCACAGCCCATTAACTGGAGCAGATGTTAAAGATGCCAAAAAAAAAAAAAAAAAGAAAAAGAAACCTCAAGTCCAAGGATCTCAAACTCAAGGAGTTTCAAAGCTCAAAACAAGTATGAAAATTTACACCCCCCAGACACAGCTGACCTGAGAAGCTGAAGATAAACAGCACAACTTAATGTAAAACACAGCTTATTTCTCCATCCTATGCAAACTAACCCAAGCCAAGCCTCTTGCAGCTCGACTGTTTTGAAAAAAGAAACCACTTCTATACTAAAACCAACATATTAAAATACTTGTTTTCGTTGAAAAGATAGCCCGAGTCTTGTGACTCGTTATTTACTATTCTGGTAACCCTGGCTGCATCTGCAGCTGATAGTGTTTCCTCCGAGCCAGATCAGATTGCCCTGGCCCCTGGCCAGCAGGCATGTGACTGCAGCACAGGGAACCTCCAGCCAGCCAAGGCAGCAATGGCACACAGACCAAGGGCAAGGATTAACTGCTTCCCAGCTCTTCAAACACCCAGGGAAGCTCTCCTGCCAGATAGCAAAGGGCAAAAACGAAAACAAAACAAGAAAACGACACGAAGAAACCCTCCTCAAACACTACGGGGAAGTTAACTGGATTTTAAAAATAACAATCATTAAAAACTCACTTGGCCACTCTCCTCTTGGCCATCTGCAGCAGCACCCCCTCCCCTCCCTCCCCACACACACACCAGCATGTGAGGGAAAGCTCAGTTAATGAGAGACTCTGCTCTTTTGAGGGTTCCAGTACCTTTAAATTGGTTTATATTTGGAAACGCCTCTGGGAGGCTGAACTCCAGCCTGGAGCTTGCAGGCACCTTGGCCCCAGCAGTGGAGCACAGGGACCAGAGAGCCCCTCAGGAAACACCTTCACATCTCACAGCCTTTGAGAGCCACTGAAGCCCAGCCTGAGCCAAGCCCAGCCCAATTCCTCTGGGGTCTGCCTGCCTGAGGGCACAGGTGGCACCAAGGTGAGCAGCCCTGCTGCCACAGACACCACAGCACAGCTGCTCCACCCTCACACACATACACCCCCAACCACCCTGGGTTTCAGTACCAATTTTCAGAACCAGTCCAAGACATCTTTCCCTGGTGCTGTACAAACCAAACGAGCCAGACAGCTCCTCATGGATGAACAAAGCTCCTCATGGATGAAAGCATCCTGCTGCAGCCCCCTTCCTCCCCAAGGAAAGCACACTGACCCTCAGCACTGTGCCCCAGAGCAGCTCTGCTATTTAGGAGCCCAAACATAATAGCAGAGAGAGAAAATAATCAGTGGTTTATAAAGCTTAATTCACATACATTTGTTTCCTATCCTCATTCCATCCTTCCAAAGATGATTTTTCCTTAAAAAGGAACAACAAAACAAAGGCAATCCCCACTGCAGGGAAGGCAGGAGTGGGGCTCCCCCACAACTCAGTGCCCGTGCTGGCACCACTGAGCACACTCAGTTCACAGCAGCATAAGCTGCTTAAAAATTACTGGCAGAAAATGGGATCAAATCTGTCTGCCAGAGAGCAGAGAGGTGTTTCCCCAGGCCCTCACTCAGGGTTTCCTTGCCAGCCAGCATTTGTGCCACACAGGTATTAGTCACATGCATAATCTGTGTTATCAATGTGCTGTGCTGGCCTCAGGGACTGGGGGAGCCAAAATGTTTATGCAAGTACAGTAGCTTATTTCCTAAGTCATGTGTCTGCACAGCTGACATCCACAGAGAGTTCTAAGCCTCTAAGTCAAGTGTTAATAGCTAAACCCATCAGTGCTTTAGAAAATTAAAAATTGCTGTAAAGTGACTAATGATGCAAAGGTAGGCCTGGAGCTGGGCACAAAACTGATGGCAAATTTATCAACAGCCTCCATTTGCAGAAGCAGCCTGGGCCTTTGAGAGAAGGCAGCTTTGTTCTCCAGCTTTGGCCCAGCTCCCTTTTTGCAGGCAGTGGAGTGACCTACAGCCACAGCCCCTTCCCTGCAGAGGGGACTCTGGGGTGATGCTACCATCCCTGATCAGCAGGGCAGCACATCCCCCATGCCCACTCATCTGAGGTTATTCTGATCACCAGACAAGTCCACATCAGCTACTCTTGAGCACCTCTGAAGATGCGGGGGGGGGGGTTTAAAGAAATACAAACAAAAAATATTCTCCTTAAAACAACTAGGCTGCAATGAGTTAAACCAGCAAAGGATTACATTTTAGAATCCCCAGCCCACTGAAGTCAGCACCCTTCTTCCCTCCAGCACAATTTGCTAAGAGGACAGGAATCAACACAAGTCTCAGGTTCACCAAAGGACTCGTCTCCTGACTTCCCCGTGACTTCAGTGGGAAAGCAGACACCTAAAGAGATAATAGTGTCCTAAATGGGTTTGCTGAACCTGTGCCAAAGCATCTTTGCATCCAGCCTTTGGTATTTAAATATACCTCTCTCTTCTTACCAGACACATCCTGCATTGCTTTGAAAAGCAAGGGGGTCTTGCATGTCACAGAAATGAGGATGACATGCGTGTCACAGGGGCACAAGGACCTTGCCTAGACTGGGGGCACCAGCTGCTGCCCACCTCTGAATGCAATCCCTTAAAAAACCCCAGCAAAACCTAAAATTGCCAAAGGCTGCTGCCCCAGGAAATTCATTTCTATGAAATTAAACTGGATTTAATTAACTTCATTACACTATTAAAGAGCAATATTTATATCACCATGGAAACCTCTGCACAGAACTGGTGGTTCAGCTCCAAGTGCTGGTTATGCAATGGTTATGGCCATGTCATGGGAATGATCCCAGCTCCTGGTGAGCACTGAGTGCCAATCTGTGTCTGCTGGGACAGTGCTTTCTTCCTCAGCCTGACCACAGCAGTCTTCCTCACCTCATCCCAGCTCAGCACTGCTCAGTGTCCCTCCAGGAGGAAAAGCCAGCACAGGGGATTTGGCCCTTGTTTTCAGGGCTTTTTCCTGCTTTTGCCTTGGGAGAGGTGCCCCTCCCCTCCCTCTGGAACTGTTTAACTTGGAAGGACAAAGGAGAGCGGGCAAAGTCTGCTGAGTGTATCTTGAGGGGGAATGTTTTGGGGGAAAGGTTTGGAAAACAGCTGGGGAGCTGGTGTTAACAGAGGGTGGGAAGGCCCAGAAATGGCTCAGGGAGAGACCTGGGAGGAGAGACAGGGCAGAGCTGTGGGAGTGGAGGATTCACTGTGGCTGCTCTGAGTTGCTGAACTTGTCTCAGGCCCCTGGGCTGGATCAGTGGCTCCCAGCAGTCATGAGCTCCCTCTGCTCCCTCTCTTGGCACAGCTTATCCCATCCACAGGCCCACGTGCTCCCTATTTTCTGCCTTCTGTCCCTACAGGACATATCCTCTGCCCTTCCTTGTGACTACCTGGAGGTGAGCTTCTAAAAAACTTTAAAATATACTGTGCCTTTGTCCTGCAGCACTACCCAATCCATGGCATTCAGGTAAGAAGTGGAATTGTGGAAAAATAAATGAGCGCTCAGGATCCTTCTCTGTTCAGTAAAATACATCCTGATGTCAGAAATTTCTTTTTATAACATCAGAGAGCTGTCTTCAATAATGTCTCTAAAAAGTAGCTCTACACTGGTTGTAAAAGGAAGCACCCTGCCACTCCCATCTGAGAGGAGATGAATCACTCCAAACAGATGGATTTTATCTTAACTCCCTCCCCATGACTTCAGCCATGGAAAGAAAATACAGCTAAATGCCAGGGATGTGCTTATCTGTGTTACTTTGTAAAATAACTGTTGAACAGAGAGGCTCTGCAGGTACCAATAGCCAGAAATTACAGCACTGCATTTGACTGTGGGAAAAGACAGCTCTTCTCTTCCTAACTGTTTTTCTGAAACACCTTTGGAGCACAGCTTAGAGAGGGGTGAGCTTTGCTCACACATCAGGACATTACACACTAGAGGAGGATTTCCCTAACAGGGCTTTGCAATGCTTTTCCCCCTCTCAACAGGCCACAAAAGTGCATATTAAATGGTTTTTAATAGGTGACTGGGAGCTTCCCTATCACCTAAAGCACAGAAAACCCTGTGTTTGTGTTCTGTTCACACACAACTAATGGACACACACACACACTTGGAAAAATCCAAAACCTCAGGCACATTAGGATGGCTTGGGTATCACCAGTCCTTTGCTGTACTGACTTCTGCAGAAGACTTTGGACATTTTAAGTTACTTATCCTGCACTAAGAAGATCCTTGTAAAACAGGCTCAAGTGCTTTTGAAGAAAGAGACAGAAAGGACAGGAGACATGTGGCTCACCTGAACTCATTGAGGGCATCCACAATTCTGTTATATGCCAAACTCCGCTGGCTGGCATCAGCTGATCTCCGACTCATTTTCATGGCCTTGAAAACAATCATTAAACAGATAAGTAACATACAGCTACAGGAGCACAGAAAATGGAAAACCAAGTCATGTGCTTGACTTTATCTTTTGTTCAGCAGGTCATGCAAATAATTCTTTTAAGTGATAAAGTGACGGTCCAAGTGCCAACTTTCCCATCTGAGGGAAGACAGGTGAGGCACATTTGCAGCTTCTGCTTCTTTTGTGCTTTTCACCATTCAAGGCATAAAAGTCAAAGTTTTAACTGCAGTGATGCAATTCCCACACCCAACATCAAGTTGATCCCACTTTTGTAACTAGCAACAAGAGTTAGAAATTAATCTGACAGGGCTGGGAGAACATACACAAGTGCAAGAAGCCAAAGGAACTGTGTTTACCTGTTCTATTGCACTCTTCAGTTTGTTCATGTGACTCTCAAAAAGAGGGAAGTGTGAAAAAAAGAACTCGTTAAATTTGTTGTTTTCATCTTCATCTTTTGAGAGTGAAAAAATAACCCCAATTGCTATCTTCTTCTTCCTAACAATTCCTGGGTTTGGACCAGAGCTGTCATCTGACAAGTTGAAGCTTTCATCCATGGACCTTGGAGCAGGAACAAAAGGGAAAGTTAATGTAATCCACTGCTTAAAGTTGTACCTTGGTTTCCTGTGTGATTCAGTTCTTGAACATTTGACTTCAAATACCTTTTGCTTGAATGTGTTGTCAAATCATCATCTTTGATAACAACCCCTTTGTGATTTTTTACAAACAACTATGAATTGATTGTGCAATCACAAAACTCTGGAACCAGATTCAAAGTGTTCATAGGATCAGAATATTGGTATTCTAGTTCTCCCCCATTCTTGCCAAGAATTTGTGTTTTGAGTACCATCTTAGGGCTTCTTATCCTCAAAACTACAGCCTACAGATTTCCATGTTGCTGAAGGCTTTCCAGCTAGTGAAAAAACAACGAACGCCATGAGGCACACAGAGACTAAAGAAGTTCAGCCTGACTTACACCTCTGTAAATACCCCAGGTGAAAGCATCAGCAAGAGCAGATGCACATATGCAAGAGCAGAATGAGGCTGGCAGGGGTGTGTGGGCAGCAGGCAGCCCTGGCGTGGCCAGCTCACCATCGGGGGAAGACGCCGTTCTCCAGGCTGGTGGTCTGGCTGCGCCGCCAGCGCCGCTGGTAGCTGCTGGCACAGCTCTTGTTGAACGAGGAGCCCGGGGATGGAAACGGGGTGATGAGCAGGCTGCTGAGAGATGCTGCAACAACAAGAGGAATAAAAACCTCTCCAGAAAAAAGAGAATTCGGAATATAACACCAGCAACTAAACCAAGTCTCTCAAGAGACACTGCTGTTGCTTCTCAAGCGCCTTCTCTTTTGCTTATCTATGTTTCTAATATAAAAATAACCAGTTTATAATGACATTAACAAGCCATGCAAGCATGACAAGGGTGGGACAGTCCTGCTGATTTACATAATAGGCAATGCACAGGATGCACCTTGCTCAGCAACCTGAGTATCAGGAAATAAATTCCTTGTGGAAAGGAGTAATGTTGATCACATCCTTTAACAGCCTTTACAATCCCAGCCCAAGTGTTCAACATCCTGAATCTGGAGGGAGGAAAGGGGTGCTGTTGAGGCCAATTCATGTTTTAACATTACCATCATAGGAACACAGAATCACAGAATGATTTGGGTTGGAAGGGAACTGAATTCCATCTCATTCCATCCCCTGCCATGGGCAGGGACACCTTTCACTAGACCAGGTTGCTCCAAGCCCCATCCAACCTGGCCTCCTGGATTTGGAAAGGAGATGACAGCAAGTATTGTTTAGAAATGCTGCAAGCTCATTTCCATATTAAATCTGCCTTGCTTATTTGCAGCTTGTTTAATAAAAGACACTGCTGTCAGGTTACTGTGAGCTGCCCAACACACACCCTCAACACCTGCACCACCTGGACCCGTGCAGAGAGGTGTCATTAATGTCACAGAGCAAACCAGAACAACCCCATTTCAGCACTACTTCATGATGTGCAGAGACCCCATGACAAATGAATATTTTTGGAGTTTACAGGGTTAACACATGGAACTGCCATTACCAGATCTTGCTATACCGCTGTCTCTGTCCTCGTTCTGCTCCCTCCCAGGCATATCCATGGGGTTGCTGTGAACTGTAAAACAAGGAATACCAATTAGCAGGGGAATGTACAGTTCCTTTCTTGTTTGCAGATCTCCATGTAATTAATGAAACAAAAACATGCTCATTAATTCAGATCAACAGCACTGCACAAGGCCATCACCAAGAAAGGCTGCTTAGCTGAACAAACCAAAACACTTACCTGAGAAGCCTGTATATGTTTTTCTCAAGTCCATACACCTATTTTAGTGCAAACTAAAACCAGGACTTTGTTTCTGTCCATAGATAATTTTCAATAAAATTTTATTGTACCAAGAGGATGTTGGTCACATTTGTAGTACTCAATGTATAGGCAAAACCCACCAAGACTCAAAATAAACACAACTTCATTCCTAGACCAGCTTTCTCAGGTATTAGATATGTACTTTTAAAGGAATTTTGAATGCTGTCTTTAAGAAATTGATACTTTTAAGTTGTGAGCAGTGCATTGGTTGTTCAACTAAGCTGTAAGCTGTCCAGATTCACAGTCTGCATCTAGACAAGATCAAAGGTGTGTCAGGCTCAACAGTCTTTAAATGTGATATATTTTACAAATATTTGTGTGAAATAAAGCTACTCAGCCATGGAAATAAGATCCACTAAAAGCAAGAAATGTCCATTTTGAATTAATCTAATTTAGCTGTAATTTTTACAGTTTGATTGAAACCAATCCAGATCAAAATAGCTTGACATCATTGTGAAATATTATCCCCATAAATATTAATTCCATATTTAAATATTTTAGTTTCCAAAACAGAACAACACAGACAATCCCAAAGAGGACTATTAAATGCCTGCTGTTCTTTGGGGATTTAAGAAATGTGTCCAGAAAGGTAAGGGAGCAAACACCACTGTCCATTTTTTTCTTTTTTCTTTTTTTTTTTTTTTTTTTTTAAATATGAGATCTTATTTGCAGGGCTAAACTACAAATCCACAGAGTTTGTCACCCCAGCTAGACTAGCCCCACAGCACAGCACACAGCACACAGCAAACCTGCAAAGAAAGAGGCGCTCCGGATGAGGCGGAGCGGACCTTGCTCTGAGAATGCCCGCCTGGGGCTGCAAAGCTGGGAAAGACCTACATGGCAAAACGTAAAATACACATCAGAGAATGAGGTTAGTAAAGCAGAACAGTCCATAGGGAGGGGGCCAGGGCAGGGAAAGGTTTGAGCCAATATAAATGCAGAGTAACACAGGCAGGAGAACAGCTCTGAGGCTTTACCAGAACGCTGATGTGAGGATGAGTCTCACAGCTGGGCTATACAGCATTTATAGATTAAAATAATAGACCCAGCTTTCCACTGTCTCCCATACAAGGATGGGGTTTCTCAAAAGGGCTCTTTTTTTTTTTAATTTTAAGGTTGAAAAATGATTAATTTATGCAGGCTCAAAGCCTAACTTGACCACAAACAGGAGATTCATCACAGAGTATAATGTTTGTTTTAACATCCACACTGGTGGGGTGCCTGGGAACACTGCTTCTGAAGAGGAGGAGGAAGGGGAGAAAGAAGGCAGGAATTCATCTTAGTAGAACCAACAAAAAATTATAGGCTGAAGTAGTTCTGAGAATAGTCAGTACATAAGTTGAGTGAAATGATCACATAGAAAATAAATGTTAGCAGTCTCAGTAGTGCATTTTAAAAGTAATACTGGATTATAGATATACCAGGGAAACAGTGTATTTACTGTACACAGAGCCAGAAAAAACACATAAGTATTTTTAAAGAGTTAATTGCCAGTCCCCCTCCTATATTTGAAGCCAATGCTCACTCAAAGTTTTCTGATTATACAAAACACAAAGGCTGCACCTCAAAGCTCCCTTCCATTCTCTTAGGCCTCCAGTCATTAAAGGGAACACATGACCAGGGCTGCTTTGTTTTTTTTTTTAACCAGCACATGTGAAAAAAGCACCTTGTAAACAGTTCCCAGCCAAAACACATAAACCCTTCTCCTGTCACAGATGAGTCAGGAGCAGTCTCTGCTGCTGAGCACAGTTGGAAATGCTGCAGTTACAGATTAACTCCTCTCCCTGCTTCACCTAGGGTTCCCTCTGTGCTCAAACAGGAACTGTAAACAAACACTGCTGAAAACTTGTGCAGCTCAATCACAAAGAAAACTTCATCCTCCTCTTGCTGGCAACCTTGTGCCTCTTGCCACACACCCTTACCCCAAGGTACCCATACCTCCCAAAGCCTCAGAGCTCGGGTCTTGGGGCAGTCACCAGAGTCACCTCACAGCTGGACACAGGGAACAGGTGGCACTGGCTACACCTGAATCACTCCATGCCTAAGAGCTGCCTTATCTGAACTGGAACTTGCAGTTTAGATCACTCTAATGCTACAGCAAACTTCTGCCAGGCACAAGGCACAGCCAACCCTAACAGTAGAGGAAGGTGATGTCCTGTCTCTTAGATCAGGTACCACATTCACTGCAAAAATCACAACTGAAGCCTGAAAGGACTTTGGGAAATGAATTTGTAGGTTGTAAGGTTCTTACAACCTTAATTGGTTTCCCTTACAAATGGACTAGTGCAAATTATTTTAATGAGGTATACAGCTCATGAGCTTGAGCAGCATTTAAGCCCATGCTTGGGCACAGTCTTGCAAAGTCAATGGGAAGGAAAGCAGTAAACACCCCTAAGATCTAGAACCACATCAGAGTCAGAAACCCATTTAAGAGTAACACAGTTATCAAATATACTCACTTCCAACCCTATAAAAGCATATTTTACATACAGAAATTTCCTGGAAAGCAACTGTAAAAATAAGCCCCTTATTCCACCTACAACAGACATTTGTTTGGGAAGTCAACAATCAAAATGAACAGATAGGGAGGAGAGAGCCATGGATCAGGCTGCTACACTGGACAACCAAGCACTGAAGTCCAGTCCTATCAGCTCTACTGTTCCAGGAGGAAAAGCCAAGACCTTTGTTATCTAATGTTCATGGAGCCTCCACCCACAGCTCCTCCAGGGAAGCTGAGAACTGAGGACACCAGATGGTTTCTCAGGACTGCTTAGCTGCCATGGTCAGCCAGAGGAGAGAACACACAGATATTCTGTCTAATCTGATCCAAAGCTCCAGCTCAGCTGTGCAAGGTTAACTGAGACTTGTACAGGACACACAGCTACAAGTGCTCAGGTGGGCAGAGTACAGAGCAGAATGAGAATTATTAATGGCAATACAACCAGGGAACTGAGCCAGGCTGAATCAGTCCTGCCTGATCAGAGATATGCTCTTCAGGAATTTCTACAGAATGTTATTTTCCAACATTTTCTGTATTTGAACTTAAGTATATATAAATATTTCTATTATGTATTTTGTATACACATATGCAGCTGTGTATACTGAATGACTGCTAATTCCCTGAACAGTCCAAGTTATTCTCCTCCAAGCTCCATCACCATTAATTTTCTGTTACATCTTTACCTTTTTTTATATTTGATTTTATTTAAAAGATTTGCATGTTCTAGAATCTATGTTTACTCAATTAAAGATATCAGTAAATAAAATCTGTTTGCAATTACCTATATTCCCAAGAAGTCCATTCATAATTGTACTGTGGTCAGGCTTTAATGTATTGCTGTCTTGATTAATGAACTCAAGACTGTCCTGCAACCTATAACAAACATAAAACATATAACAAAACCAGTGATTTGCATTTCAGTAGAATAGAGAGATAGTTCATTATTGCCAAAATGGAACAGACAATGTAAAAACACAGGCTTCTACTAGAAAAAGTTTTCGTAGCCTAAGCCACATCTTCAAGTGGGTCACTTAATAACAGAAAACAGATATTTTTGTAACATATTTTTACAATATTTTTGTATTTTTCTTCATCTTGGACTGAATCCCCAAGGTTGCAGGTAGGTACTTTTGTACCTTACAGTATCAAGCTTCACCATATCAGCATGGAAGGAATGGTTCATTCATTTCCTTAGAGCCAGCTGAGGTGAAGACAACCGTGAGGGAAAGGTGAGGACACCACTGACAGGATGTAGCAAGGAGTTATTTTTTTACAGAAAGAATCTGGAGGGTCCAAAGAAAGTCCTGTGTGTCCTTCATTCACCTCTTTCTGTGCAATAGCTACAAAGGGCAGGGCACTCACGTGTTCAGGCTGCCGTAGATGCTGCTGCCCGTGCGCGCTGTGAACACCTTGCTGAGCATGAGCTGGGGAGGGGAGCTGGGGAACAGGAGGGAGATGTCAGTCACAAACAGGGCCAGGACAGGCTTTGCCTTCCATTTCACAGCCCTCCAGATTTTATGGACCTTAACACAACATAACACCTTTTTATTTCAAAAATGACCTCAGATTGACTTTAAAGCAATCCAGAAATCCATTTCAGTCTGCACTTGTGCCATTCAATTCACTGTTTATCAGCACTAAGGGTGAGTCTTCTGAAAACACCTGCAGCAAAACGTTCATCTTACCGGATCTGATGAATCTTCAATGTGGAGCCCTTGTAGCTCATGGCCACAGAGCCAAACATCATCTCTCCAAGCATGTTGGCATCTGAGGAGCACCGAGAACCCTGCAAAAAATCAAACCCACCAATGTTTGGTTTGAAGCATTTTAGAGGCATGCTTCTACTAAGGCAACACACAAGAGAGAAAATATTCCTTATTTAAAAGATAAATATGCAAAATATCTTGCTGGAACACTGTTGAACATGCAAAGTTGAACAGTTTAATCAAGATAATGCTAACAGAGAAAGTGATCTTCACACTGGCTGTGAGCTCAACCTCTAAAACCATGCAACAAACCAAACCCACCTAGGTGAGGGGAAGCAGATTCCAACAGCACTGAGCCAGGGGACTAAACTTTTAACCATGTCTTAACACACCTCACTGAATTAAGCCTAAACCTTGCTCCTGCTTGACAAGAAGAATCAGCAGTTCACTGGAGATGTTAGACTGTGCAGTGGAGCCAAACTGGACCAATGTTTGCTTGACAAGACTGAATCATAACTTATCCATGGATGATATTTTATATGGGATGAATCTCTCCCTGGTGCTTCTGTGATGGCACCAGGAAAGAGCTGCAGCATCACATTAGATGCCAGGCTGAAGTGGTGCAATTCCTGCTTCTCTGGTGGCAGGAGCTTGCTGTAAGGCACACAAGCTAAATACCAAGGAGCAAAGTCACTATGCTGCATCACTGGCTAGGGCAAATTCTGCAAACAAAACCCTAAAATTAAAAAATTACTCAGGGCAATCAACTGGAGACAACTGCTCTGCAGACAGACTTCTTATTTCTGTGTTTTCAATGACTGTGATTACTGTGCCTTTGTCCAGGGCTGTTTCACCTCCAGGCCAGCAGAGTGTAAGTGCTGGCTCTCCACTTGTGCCTTGCCCTGAATAATTTAAAATGCGGTGATCACTCACTAACACAGCTCAGCCAGTTCTCAGGAGAAGGAGGTTTGGCAAAAGAGCAACACATTTCCTACCAAGTGTGTGATAGCATTTAATTACTCCATTCCCTGGAGAAATCCTTCTAAAAGATCCTTAAACCTTAAACCCCTCACAGAAACAACCCTGCTGGAAGATGCTCAGTGCATCTCCATATTCCTCATGCAAGCTCTAAACAACCAGAACCCTGAGTAACCATGTATTCTACACAGGACTGAAATACAGAATGACAAGAATGGTTTGGGTTGGAAGGGACCTGGAAGCTCATCCAGTTCCACCCCCTGCCATGGGCAGGGACACCTCCCACTGTCCCAGGTTGCTCCGAGCCCAGTCCAGCCTGGCCTTGGACATTTCCAGGGGTAGGGCAGCCACAGCTTCCCTGGGCAGCCTGTGCCAGTGTCAGACAGTGAGCCTGGAGCACAACCAAGGACAGGGTGTCCCCACCACAGACCCCTGCAGGCAGCAAGAACAGCTGTGAACATCCCACTGAGTGTTCCTGCTCACACCAGCCCACAGAACAAGGGCAGGAACAAGGAAATGCTCATCAGCCAAAAGGCAACACACTCACAACATTTCTCAATTTTTAGTTCTTTTCAAGCACTCTCAATTAAGCTGATGATACTTTTAACAGCCATGCTTGTAACCTCTGAAATCTATCCCTGCAAGGAGAGGGGATGACTGAAAGCAGAAACCACCACTGTAAAAATGAGGGTACAACTCCAAGGTTTGTATGTGTTCAATGGCAGGACAAAAGCTGATCATTAGCTGGGCCTCAGTGAAATTTCCATCTCTGCCTGCCAGGACATCCCACTGCTCAGGTGCACTGTAGGCAGTACTGGAAAAACTAGAATTTAAAACCAGTCAGTATGAACCAGCAGCTCCAAGGAAATCTCAGCATAGATGTTAATGACTCCAGGAAATAACAGGTTTGCCAGCATCACAAAATCCTGTCTTAAGAACACTGCAAATTACTACAGCCTCACGCTATGATTGTTGTTTTTAAATCTGTTGCAGATCTCCAAGTGAAGGGGACAATTCTGATTAAATGTCAAGCCCTTGATGTGGGTTTTGATTTCAACTTTCTGCTGTTGTGAAAATATAATTCTAAAGCTCAGTAAAAATACTTTATCTTAGAGTATTGATTTTCTTTGTCAGACAGCCAAATTAAAGTGAAAATCAGCTGCTTTCAAATTTAATTATAGGGGTTTCCCTTTCCTCTGAAAGACAGACAAGCCCTGCTGAAGGCAAAGAGTGTGATAAGATGAGCCCATGGCCTGTTCAGTCTGGCATTTCCTCTACAATTAATAACAGTAATTTTACCATGCATAACCAAAGGCACATATTTTATGCATTTAATATGGAAACACTGTTACAGCTCAACTCTTTGGCCTTCTAATGCTGCAAAATACAGGTCACTCAAGACCAAAGCAGAGTACAACCAAATGGGGAAAGGGGTTAAATATTAAAAACTCAAACAAAAAGTAGCCAAGGAGCATCTGGCAAAAAGGGCACAGCTTGGGGCACTGACAGCCTGGACACAAACCAACTCCTCAGGTCACAGTTTAGAGCTCCCATAGAAACTGATCATAAAATACCCACAAGTGTTTGGGATTGCACATTAGCATATTAGAGGTAGTAACATTTGCATGATTTGGAAATTACATTTCTGAACATATTTTCAGCTTTTAATACTTCCTTTACTGTACATATTGTCCTGTCAATAACCAAGTATATCTGTAAATTAAAAAGGCAATAAGAAAATAAGTTAAATATGGAACATAATTACAAATATGGAACCCTGGAACAAATCCTATTTCACCTTGCAATTAAAGTTGCTCATATATAATCAAAGTGTATTTAAACAAGAAAACATAAAGCAGTATTTTAAAAACCCCATAGTATTATATTATTTGAACTTCCATTTTATAGCCTTACAAAAAACAAACAAGAGAATTTATAAATACTCCAATAAGTAACCTCTGAGGCTACAGACACAGCAGTTAGAACATAGGAAATGCCAGGCTGAGTGAAGTCTGGACAAACTTACTCTGGCCCTTCTGCATAGCCAATGCTAAATTTTATTGCACATTAAAGAATTCTTGTATTTTTGTCTCTCTGCTCACTTGCTGGGGTAGCCTGGAAGGAGTCTGATGAATGCAGTAGATTATTCACAATAAATATGCTGTGGAAGACCAACTTCAGCTGGAAGTGTGTGGCACAGTCACACAGCCACTGAGATTTCAGTTCAACTCAGTAACATTTTGAGTGAGTGATACACACGAAGAAATGGGAACTTCAAAAGGAAAACTTTCCACAGCTTTAAAATACACCCTCATGCCAAACACTAAAATTTATTTTCTTTAGTAGCATTGAGCATTGTTTGCAGGGAGCCTGCTCTGGAGCAGAGCCAGTTTCTGGGTAGTGGGGGGCATGGTTTTTCTTGGGCACACAGTGCACAAAGGAGGTTGCTTTGTGCTGGAAGGGAGCTGCTGACAGAAACATCTCTTCCTTTCATAACCACAGTAATGCCCTGCCAGGAAGGGAGGAACGGAAAACAGATCTTCAGCCACCTTACCCAAGCTGTGGAAAAGAGTGTGATGAGACAGAGAAAACAAGAATACACAGCTTGCCAAATATAGCAGGAGTTAACGTGACAGTAGGAAAGTCAGCACTGGAAGCTTCTTCACTTCTATCTATGGGAGATTAAGACATCAGTAGTATTGTACTCCAGAGCAGGTTGTGGAGATAGCAGCTCCCTCAAACACACAATTACTTCATTACAAAGAGTGAAAAGGGCTTGGTTCTATTTTAGGGTAGCCTAATATAAAACACTTGTGATCTGTGGAAGGAGAGATGACAAAAATATATCCCTGTCAGATGACTCTAGCTACTCTCATGGCCAAAATCTCTTATATAAAATGGAATTCAAGTGCACCAAATCCCTTAAAAAGCTGTTACACAGACCATGCCTACAGACAATGCTATTTCTCTGGCATCTGACAATGAAATAGACTACCTCATCTACACCAAGATATTTGTGTCTGATCACACCAAGTGAGTGTTATCACCTGGGTCACAAAATGGAACAAATGTCCTGGAGAAATTGCTGCCATTCAAGACATCCCAAGAGAACCAGCTGGTTGGTTTTAGACTTGATAATACCCAAAGCTGCAGTGTTAAACACTCCTGAGTCACCCAAGGTCTTGGTTCTGACTGAAACCTGCTCTCCAGTGCCAGCCTCTCATTTCAAGTACTTTAAAACAGTCGTGCCTCACCTGCTGTGAGCATTTGACATGTGTTGTGGAAAAAAAATAGTGACTCACCTGGTATTTTGGGCATTGCTCTTTTGGATCAGAGAACGAGGAGGATGAATTGATTGAGCTATCCAAGGAAGAAGAGCTGTCTCCTCCAGGCTTTAGCTGGCAACACTTCCCAAAAACTCTCACCTGAGCATCACTGCAGAGTTTCTGAAATACAGACAACACATGTGACACACTAAGACCTGTGACCTGAAATCGCTGTTAGTATCACTGTACTTACCTGTTCAAGTAAGATATTTAACAGCTGAAAGGCTCATGCCCCAGGAAACAGGTAACATATACCCATATCTCTGCAGCCTGGCTGTCCAAAGGAAAGCTGAGCCTTTTTACTTCCAATTAGCCAGAAGCCAACAGAACAGGTCACTACAACTCCATCTTCCTAAGTAGACTTTTTTAGACCCAGGATTAGGAGAGAGGATGGTACCAAAGCATTTAAAGGAAGGATGGAAATGTCCACCTTACTCCCTGTGCCTGCCAGAGTGGAGACGACACAGGAGTGTAAGCAGCAGCTCACCATTGCTCATCAAGCAAGAATAACACAGAATTCAGAAGATTCATGTTACAAGGGCAAGTGGAGAGAAAAGATCCTGTTTTTCAGAATCTCTCCCTAGCTGTGTCTAAGCCCCCTAGTCTTTCTCAAGAGTGGCACAGAGGTGACACATTTCTTACATTTTCTGTATGAGGGAATTGTGAGGCTGAAAATGGGCAATGCTGAAAAACACAGTGCTACAGAGAAGGCAGAAAAGATTCAGAAAATTATGAAGACTCCATCCAAAAGCTAAATTCTGATAGAGATTCAGACAGAAAGCAGAGCAGAGAAGAGATCCTGTACAGATGGATCTGGAACCGATGTACAGGATGGGCAGGATCTGTGTTCACTCTACACACAGAGAATTATCAATCACTGCCATGGGAGATGCTTCACTATGTTTCATTCACTATTTAAAAGCATTTGTGATTTCCCTTGAGAATCCCAGCATCCCAAGCAGAATCAGCATCCACCAAGTTAATGCAGTTTACACAGCACTGGCATTGCCAACCCTCTTCACCTAAAGATCTCAATGTATTTTTCACACACTCGTTACACTTCAGCACACCCCCGTAAGGTTGGCATTATTTACATCTGCTGGTAGGCAGCACTAGGAGACAGAAATAGTCTACACTGCTCAAAATTCTGCACTAACTCTGCCCTAAGACTTCCTTAATTACCATTTCCTACACAATCACCAAACCAGTAAGAGCAAGCTGGAAGCAAACCCTGCTGAAAGCAAGGTTTAAGGACAGATGGGAACACAGAAGTGCTGTTATGTGTCACAGCTTCATCTCTGGACTCATAGCTCCTGCCACAAGCTTCATCATCCAAAAACACAGCCATGTCTCAGCTTTTAAGGAAAAGGCATAAAGAAAAGTGTGAAATAGCCAAGGCACACATTAGTAACTCCACAACTGCTCAATAATCAGCAATAGCTGCTTGAAAAGATGACTGGCCTTACTGCTGTGGAGGGATGGGAGTCCCATGCCTCTGTCCTAGGTTGTCCAGGTTATTTTTTCAGGGACAGGTGACTTAAATTTGGCCCTAACTGTGGTTCAGCAAAGCAGCAGAAAATGGCCAGGATTATAAAGCCCCACGTGGCAGCCACCACTGCTACTCCCTTAGAGAGCTGCTGCCACAGAAAGCCTCAAGGAAAAATGTGCAGAGGAATTAGTAACAGAGGGGAGGGAAGTGTTCACTTTCCCCCAGCCCTGTCAGCTTTCCTGACACACAGCAGTGTCCTCTCCTTTCCACACAGAGGAGAGCTCACTGAAATCCTGCAATATGCAGATTTGCTAATGGCTACTGAGGATCTGTGGCTTGAGCACAGTGCACAATGGCTGGAACATGTGAACGATCATCATATGACTTCAGTAGGAGCTCGTGAACTAGAATTGCATTTTATCTCTGACACAAACAACAATGTCCTAGGCTAGGCAAGCATCATGTGATAAAACCACATACAATCCACAGGGTTACAGCAGCTTTTGCAGGCAAACCACATTTCAGCTTGCATTTTCCATCAGATGTTGAAAGTTCCTTCTAAAATGTTACAATTATAACTAAGCTTCCTTGAGACTGTAGAAATGCATTTACTGACTTTACAAGAGAAAATAAAATTCTGTGCATTAAAAAGAATAGGCTGAGTTTGCAAATCAATTACTTTTACATAATTTCTTCTCATTGTCACTGCGTTTTTCTGCACAGCAGCTTTTCCCAGATCCACTGGGTGGTCGGGTAACTTGCAGTAATAGTTGCCTAATTTAAATAGCAAACCAGGAAAATGGCTGTTTGGTCTTTGCAGTGGAGTTTAATGAAGCAAAACTCCTGCAAGGAATCTTTAAATGAGGTCAGAATCTTTCAGCTCCCACTTTTCAGAACCTTGTGAACAGTAAATCCCTCCTAAAATGCAGATGAATTTTGGTGTTTGCTCTTTCACAAACTTAGCATGTGTTTAAGATGAACTCCTTGGACAATGAAATCAAGTACTTGCAGTGACCCTTCCCTCTGCAATTTCTGACTTCAAATGTCAATGAAATTTTAGATGCTACAAATCTCAAGATATTATCCATCAAAGGAGTAGGATTACTTGCATTCCTACATAATATTCCAAAGATATTCAAGCCAGGCTTCCAAAAATAAAAAAGTAACCTCATTATTTAAGAACTGTACAAGGGAAAGTTTCAAGGCTGTGAATTTTCTTCCCAATTAGACAGAGTTGCATCAAATCCGATCCCTGGGCAGGGTGGTGCTGGAGTGCTCTGAAATGCCCATTTTTGCTGGAGAGCAGAACATCTGCTGGAAGGATGGTGCAGGCAGCTCTGCCCTGGCTGCCACCCTGCTCTCCCTGCTGGGGTCACACTCTGTTCTCTCCCTGCCAGCTCACTGCAGATACCACCCAGCTCCAAAGACTTCTGGCAGTGCCAGTTCTGACATTAGAGGTCATCGCTTGCTGAAATTCTTGGAGACCTATCAGGTAGATCTGAAGAAAACTTAAAGTAAAATGTCTTTATAGGGTACAGGGTACAAAGTCATTTTCTTCCTCAGTTCCTCTTCTGGAGTCTTTTTTCTCCACATCTGATAGCAAAGCCTTTTAACTCTTTGACACAAACTCTCTATTCTCCTCAGCAAGTGGGAAAAACATGCCCAGTGCTGTGAATAGGAAGAGGAATTTCTGCTGGGCAGGTTTTGCTTTGGGGATAACAAGAAAGTTGAAAGGAGCCTGGTGTGTTGAACTAAATCAGAGTCTGTGTAGGTGTGTTAGGGCTGTGACTGAGTGACAGAAGGGAAAAGAAATGTCATCATATGCTTTACTCTTTTTTACCTCTCTGCAACAGCAGGTGCTCAAATACCACTGAGGTGGCAGTGATAGAGAAATCTCTATTTCCAAGCAAAGTTGCTACTCTTGAAGAGATCTCTTCCTCATTTTCAAAACAGGCTTTCCAGAATAAAAAATATTTCAAAACATACAAATTAACTCTTTTGCTGTATTAATATGAGTTGGTCTGAAAATGTGAAATGAAATGTATGTATCCACCCAACCCATGGGAGTAACCTGAACAGGCACTCATTCCTCCCTTCAAGTGCTTATGTAAAAATCCAGATATCTTTCTTAAAATGCAGCTGCCAAGTGCTGCAATTTTCCTTTATTTCTAGAGTTGTTGAGTTCCTCTGTTACTCAGAGGTCAGTGAAAGAAGTCAAGACAACCAACCCTGTGCTCCCTTACTCCACTAGTATTTTTCCATGTCTGTTTAGAGAGAATAAGCTGAGCTAAGAAGGTGGGACTTGATCTCTGTGCTTACAGCTTTATCCATCTGCTCCACTCTGCTCAGACAGAGTCCAGAGTCTCCATTTCACACAACTCACCTAAAAGCAAAAGGCTCACTATCCAATTACTAATCCCTCACAGCAATTTGCTGTTCAACATTTATCCAGTGCTGAAGTCTATCAGAACACGTGGCTAATCCTGGCTTGTTTCAAGCAGCATGCCATTTCTCTACTTTGGGATAAATATGACATTCAGAGTACAAGAAATTGACACTGAAGGAGATCAAGTATCCTATGACCTTTTAGTGAAATTATTCACAGATAAAGACAACTAGTGGAAGAGGTGAACTTTCTATTCTCCAAATTGAATTTCACTACTGCACCTCTACATCCCAAATTCTGTACCCCAGGTTTCTCATTACTTCAGAAAACCAAAACAAATGCTATTTCTGAAAACCTTCAGCCTCAGGGTCCTGGCCACAAGTCACTGCCCTTCTCTGATTCCTTGTCTTTCCCCCTTTCCTACCACATGCCCAAACTCCAGATCTCTGCTCAGCACAGTGCAGTTTGGGTCCTTCCTTTTTGTTCCTCCCTTCTCTTCCTCGTGGTCCCTTGACACCCCCCCCTTCCTCCCTGTACTTCAAACCTTCCTCTAGGCTGATCTTCAAACTTCTGAAATCTTTTAGCTCTTACACATCCCATCAGCACCTCTCTCCAGCTAGATCTCCAATGTTAACCACTCTATTATCATACATCCCCACTGGACAAAACTGAAAGGAAAATGAGCGTTAAAATGAGACAGTTAATCCCTGTCTCACTTTGGCCACTCCAAGGGAAGCCATGATCCAAGGTTCCCCTTTTCAGCTTCTTCTTTACTTCACTCCCCACTCCTCCCTCCTGGCATCATTCCTGTGGCATCCTTATCCCAATCAATTACCAGCCCTTGGAGGCAAACTCCTCATCCTTCAGCTGGCCTTTGCACACTGGCAGTTATGGGGACATAATTCCTGCACCACACAGTAAAACACAAGCCAGCCTTAGCACGAGCTGAGTATGGATGCAGTGTCAAGGTTGGGAAGCCAACCAAGCACAGGGAAAGGCAGAGTGAGGCTGACAGCCCAGCACTGCCTGGGCCACCTGGCTGCTGCACCTTAAGCAGGAAAAGGAGCTGCTTGTTGTGCTTATTTGAAATTCAAAGGAGGCTGGTGCTACAGTTGTGGAGCACACCTGTGTTCACACACAGCTCCTGGCTCAGGCACTCAGCAAAGCCCAGGGCACAGGGAGGAGAGCAGGGCTGATGGCACCTGGGAGCAGAGAGCAGGACAGGAGATGTCAGAGCAAGAGGAGCAGAACAGAACCTAACAGCAGAAACCAGTCATAGGTTGCAACATTATCACCTGCACATCAAGTAACAGAGTCTCATTACAAATGAGACACTTACTGCTTTGAGGAACAAAAAAATAACTCTCTAGAGGAGACAGTGGCTCAAACCCACAAACTTGCCCATAGAAGTTCTTTGATGCCCAAAAATCCAAGGGATGCAAATGCTTGGGTGGGGACAGAGGCTGTTCAGTAAAGCCATCAGCAATGCCTCCTCCTCATACCACAGGCTGCCCTGGTACAGTCAGTGTGCAAATGGCTGCTCTGATGCATTTGCTCATGACCTAGGGCTGCAAGGGGCAGCCACTCTCTTTCTGGGACACCCTGGCAGAAATCACACACACGATTTTCTGATGCTCAGGAGACAGCAGCCTTTCCCCTCTCTTCCAGAGCCCAGCTGATCAACAGCCCATCCCTTGGAAAGCTGGGGAAGGACCTCTCCTGCTTAGCACCAAAAAAGGTAGAGGACTCACAAAGGGGATCTCTCTGCCTCCCACATGCAAAGTGCCCACAGCTGCCTGAGGCTGATCTGTGCCTGGCACAGCCTTGGGCCAACATTCCCGGTGTGGGGAATGGCCTCCAGCCCTCCTCCCTCACCAGGCTGCTGCTCAGCCTCCCTGGCACGTTTAACTCTAGCAAGGCTGGGGGAATCACCACTTCTCCTGAGCAATCAGAATATTGGAATGGCCACTGCAGTCCTGCTGTGCAAAACCCTCCCCAAATTCTTGTCTGCTTAATATTTACCTTTACTGAAGACATGAAGAGGCTGAATTAATGTCCAATGAAAACAAAAGGTCCTTATTTGTGTTATAGCCACATTTCCCTCACAGGTAAGATGAACCTAGTAATGCTTTCCTAAGGAGAGCCCAGCTTGGTGTGAGCACAAACTCAGCAGTTTTCACTGATCAAAAATCCAGAGCTTACTGTTTTATTTCTTGAAACATCTATGTCTGCAAAGATTTTCTCTGATGCTCCCTAAATTTTATGACCACACCCTCCCTTACAGAATTCAAATGCCCGAGCCACGTTCAACCTTGGCCCACCACACACAACTTTTGACATATGTAGGGATTATACATATAAACCAGACCAAAATACATCTCACCTTGCAGGCATACAACTCTTGAATTATAATTGCTTTCATGTCTGATAACAGAAAATGGGAACTGAAGAGCACAGCACCATAAAGCAAAGTGAAACCCTCTTGATTCTCTGTGCTAGACTGCTTTGACTTGAACCAGAACACTCTGGCCACTGCCAGGCACTCTTCCAAATGTCTCCCCAGTGTTATTTGTAGATCCAGAGGTGTAAGTCACATTAGAAAATGGGGGTGAGGGGGAAGAGATGCAGAAAGCCTTGCACAAAAAGTGGGGTGCTGAACAGATACCCTTTTCAGACCAAAGAGTGCCCAGCCCACACATGGCTGGCAGCAAAAGGGCAAGAGTGCCTTGGAATGTGCTTAGAGCCAAGATCTGGCTTTGTATAGGCAGGGTGTGTCTTTGCTAATGAAAATCATGATAAAGAGCAGAGAAAGGAACAATGCAATTCCTTGAAAATGGCCAGTACATCCTGCTCACTGCACAAACCCACACTGAGCTCACATCAAGCCCAGCTGAAGACTCTCCTGAAGGTTTTTACCTGCAAACTTTTGTTTCATGAGAAAAGCTTTGCCTGACATGACATTACCTGAATGCTGCAGAAGGCAGATACATGGCAAGCAAATGTTTCAATATATCCATTTTCAAAGAATCCTAGTACTATGAAAAACAGATGTATAGAGTTCCTAGAGATGACTTCTGGGTATTTCAAATGCCATGGAAAGAGTTTTCCTCCACAAGTCTCATGTGGAGATGGTGAGTACAGCTGTTTCCCTCTCCCTTTGCAAAGAAATAGGGAACATTAATATGGAACCATATCAGCTCCACTATCAGCCATTTATCCTGTGGCTGTTGAGATGCCACAGTCAATGAGTTTTCTGAAGTAACCCAAAACAGTGAAGTCTGCAAGTTCAGTGGGCAAGTACACATCTATCTTAAAGAGGTTTTAGACTTTCAAAAAATTAATTTCAATCTGGCAAGAGGATTTATACTGTAAGTTATTTTTATTAATGAAGTAATAGTGGTAAGTACAGCCAGCAATTCATACCAATAAACCACTTCTAAAGATCTCCTGTCTTTAAAAACCTGTTTTCCTGGCAAGAACTTCAGGAAGAACAGGAACTAAGAGAACCATTCTTACAAGTTTAAATAAAAAAGAAAAACGAACTTTTTAACATTTGTGAAACCTGCTTTATTTCACAAATTCTCTATAAAAACCAGGAAATTGGGATCTTGATTCATCACTATAAAAGCACTGGAGCAAGCAATGGAGAAGCCTGGGAGTTTGTGCCTGGTAAGACACAGATTCCAGAGGTTTGGATATTGGACTTGAGACCAGGGTTAAGAGCATCAGGCTGGCAACAGGCTGGAAGAGCTTGGAAAGCTGGATGAAAAATCTGCTTGCTGTACTCCCACACCCAGCAGGAAAACCAGAGCTTGGAGGTAATGTGTTATTTTGTGTACTCCTGCTTACAGAAGGACCTTTGTAAGTCCTATAGGTAAAAGCAGCTGGAATCATTAATTTCAATTAATGCACACCATGCTTTCTGCTTGCAGAGCTTAAAATGATTTGTGAATGTTTTAGAAATGGTGACAAGGAAGTTCAAAGCAGCAAAATAAGTTGTCCAGCCTCATACCACCACTTTCAGTAGCACTGTGGCCAGAAATTAATCTTCTGTCCAGAGCCCTTAGAAGGAAGTATCCTCATCTGACCACATCCATTTCAGTTTCAATTAATAGATTATCATGCAAATCATGCCAAAAGGAAAACCAGAGTTTTCAAGTAACTTTGTGTGAAAAAACTGTCAGCAAAGCATATAAACAACAACTGATAAAAGTTAACCAAACAAGACACAAGAGGACACAGGGCTGGGGGGACCTTCTGATTAAGAATGCAGACCCCACCAGGACACAAAACTAGATCAATAAATCCCAGTTCAGGCCCTGGTTCAGCCCCCAGCACTGCATGCTGCAGCCCCAGGAAGAAATCCTTCTCACTGAAAGAGCAGAAAGTAGATAAACCCCAGAATAGAGAGATCACTATAGTATTTAAAGCTGGTAAAAGTGAAACCCCTGAAGCCTGAATAATTTGCAACTTGACAGGCATTTAAATATAGCCCTGCATATAACCAACATTTAAACGTTAATGTGACTAAAAAAGAATGTATGCAATTTATCAATTTGGCCATTTGAAAAATACAACTATAAACATGTAAATTAGCAAAATACTCACCGACACTGAAACATCCTCTATTTTTCTTTTAGCACTGGAATCAAATAAGACATTCCGTCCCCTTCTCTCACAGTCCTGATACACGATCAGTCGGATCTGACTTGGGTCAAACTCCGGCAAAGGCCAGCTTTAATTGAAAAAGAAAAGAGCAAAAGGATCAATTACCACAACTCTTTATTACACTGCTCTTTTTACATTATCTGTATATACAACTAGATTAAAACAGAGTCCAGAAAACTCAATGCCATTTCATTAAACCCTTTGATCCTGTAGCCAGAACTACGGCCTTTGTTTTCTTTTCTTTCCCCTACATGTGCCAAATTGCACTGTCATAAACTGCACCAATCCTCTACAACTGTACAAAATGATGTGTGCAGCATTAATAGATCTTGTGCTCTGTCTTGTGATGTTTTCTTCAAGTTCCAGCTATCTAGAATCAATGTCATAGAACTTAGCTTTTGCATTTAAAGACATAAAAAACCCCAAGATGAATAATCACGGGGTGGTTTCAGAGAACCACCTGGCCCTCTCCACATAAGCCACTGTGACTCAAGGGCATGGTCAGCAAACCACACAAAGCAGTCCTAACACACCTATTCCCAAACTGGTTTCCAAGGGAAGGAGCTTTCCTGAAGCCTCAGAACCTTTCCTAGTGCCACTACCCCAGAGGAGGTCTCAAAGGGAGAACTTGCCAGGATCAGGTTTGGAAACCATTCCATAATCTCCTCTTTAAGGGTGCTTTGTAGCCACCATCTTAAATATTCAATTTAAAAAGCCAGCCATCACTTTAAAGCCCAGCAAGCATTGTCATCCATTGGCTTGGGAATCCATTTTCACTGACACCATCTCAATTCTTGGAAGATAGGAAACAAGATACCTGCTGTATCCATGAAACCACCAGGGATCATCTTTCAGCTAGTTTACAAGCCATTTCCTAGATCAAGTGAAATTCTGTCTTCCTTATTCTTGGCTTTTAGACAAGCAGTGCTAGCATGAACTTCAAGGACCAGAAACAAGGCACTGGAACTTTCCAGCCATTAATGAAGGCTACAGATTCCCAATTTGCATGAAGCTGAACATGAATTTCAGCAAAAAGACACCCATAACATGTGTTAAACCTGGCATGCTAGACAGTAGTAAAATTTCCTCTCCTCTAACTCAGCACCCAAAGAGTTTCCTGCTCTGCACCCATACTTTATGTGACCAACAGGTTCTGTAACAGCAGAAAATCCATTTGATCACCAAAGCCATCATCACCTAGCCAAAGTTTTTAAGGCTGCTCAGCATAGGTACACAAGTTTTACAGCTAGTGTAGTCCCAACGAGGTGAAACTAAGCATCAAGACATACAGTTACACACTCTCCTGAGATGGAATCTATTTCCTAATCTGCCCACCCGCACCATTTAGCAACAAGAGAGAAAAACAGAAGCTGCAGAGAAGATGGTGTGTAACAAATGTCCAAATCAACTTATTACAAGAAAGAAAACCTTGAGCAACTTGAGCTGAAATAACTTCATGTCTAGATTTGGGAGCAAAGAGCCACACACCCTCTCATTTGGGCACCTAAAGCCAAGCGTTACCCGCAGCATGAGATGCCCACACGAAGTGCAGACACCAAACTGAGCAAACTCTGCACCAAAACCCAAGCACAGTGACAAACTCAGAGCTTCCACTTACTGGAGGCTCTCCTAATTAACCCCATCTTGCATTTCAGAAAATGTAAGAAAACAAAGCCCCTATCTGACACATGCCTGGGGTGTTACCAATGGAGAGGCACAAAAGGCACTAGAGCTGGGGATGGTAACCGCTCAGAGCATGACTTTGGCTAGAAGTGAGGAGGACCACTGGATAAACTGGCTTCCTGGAAGAACAGCTTCCATATATTAAAGTGGAATCAGTGGAAGTCCAGAAACAAACATTTTTTCCAGATAGGCCACTGTGGTTCCTATGAAGAAACTGTGTGACAATAACAATGACTTGCTTGCCAGAAGGGTGCTTTTGCTTGCTCCACCCTTGCAACGCGTTTGAATTTCCTTCACACTCAGACAAAAGCATGTCTTCCATTACCTAGTACTTTTGATATTTGACTTTGAAATTACTGGCAAAGAAGGCAGTAGCTGTTCCAGATCTTAGGAAAGTCTACTTATAAAAAGCTCCAAGAGCAGATTACACACTAAGAGGAGAGAAAGCTAAATATAAAACTCTTGCTGTATTCAGAAACATATTTGATGAAAGTAACAAGAGCTTGTTTACTTCTCAGCTTCTTCACATGACATTTCAACTTTCTCTAGACAAGCATTTAGTAGCTATTATCCATCATAATTTGTGATAATTCCAAAGAAGCACTATCTCTGTTACATAATAGCATCCTTAAGCACATTTCAGCCTTGCAAAAACATTCCCTGGCAATAGCAGGCCACTTCCCAAACCAGAAGAGCCTTTCAGAGAGCTGGGGGAAAGTTCATTCAGACAGACAGTAAACAGAAGGCAGCCTGGCACCTCCAACTCACCCCCACCAGTGAGGGGGAAGCAGGACACAGAGCTTTGCTTTTGTTGTTAGCAGATTTAAAATACTGTTAAGCTTGATATCTGAATAGATTATCCCCAGAAACATAAAATTCCTGCATGCAAGGGGCATTCTCAAAACAAACATAACAGGGCAGCACTCCAGCGCTCCTCTTCAGCAGATGAAAACTGACCTAGATCTTCTGAATATAATTAGTTCTGTTTATAAATGGAAACTAACTTTGACATTTAACTGATGTTTTCTTGAGATTCCTACAGGAAAACCAGGAGACGTAGAATGAAATGTTCTAGCAATGATAATGAAAGGTGAGTCTCCATTTCCCTCACTGCTCTGGAAATGACAGTTTCTTAATGAGGACTTTTTCCTGCATGAACTATCTGCCACTCTTTGATCTTTCCTTGAAACTTAGTAGAACTAAAGAAAAACCCCAAAATTAACCCAGGGCAAAAAACCCATAAGAACCACCACCAAGAAAACCCCAAATACCTTTCACCAGTAGAAGTGTTTGCAACTTTGCCACACAGTGCTGTGACCTCAGGCATGGAACGAAAGAAAAATTGGTGACAAATAAATTCCTTCTGAGCAAGAACACTGCTCCTGTGGAGATCTCCACTACACAAGTGGGGATTCCTCTAGAATGAGATGTTCAAAATACCTATATGGAGAGGAAATCTGTTGACATATAAATGCTGTATGGGATGTTTTAGAAACAAAACCCAGCTCTCACACCATGACAGACTGGTTGAGGTTGGAAGGGTCTTCTGGAGGGCATCTGATCCAATGCCCCTACAGAGACACTCATGAAAGCACAGAGTGCAAAAGAAAAGGAATTATTTGGGAGAGAAAGGGAAAATCCCATATTATTAATGGAATGGAATCATTAGAAACTAGCAACAATGAGACCAAGATCTGAAAAATGGTATTTTAATGCATATTCACACTTAAGCCCTACTGTTGTTCAGCTCTTCCCTTTTTTTTGTCCTTTCTGCTTTTCTGCCTTTTTTACCTTCAATCACAAGGAGTATCACCTGTAGCTTACACTTACAAATCCATTTCATGCTTCCTGACACCTCTACTACAGAGAGTCATAGCAATCCAGAATTCCAACTGCTCTCTAAGGATGAATTTTCTTGTGTTCCTGGAGTTTATCACCACCATCAACGTTTCTCAGCAAGAATTGAATGGCTGTAAATTGGTATTATTTCACTCTGGGCAAGTTTTAATAGATGACACAACAGACACAGAAATCCTTCATTACCACTCCAACAATTAAAATACAGGATTTTCCCCTGTAATTGAATCCCAGTACATTCCTTCCTCCTCATTCCCACCTAGAACACGAACACCACTTCTCCATTACATTAAAGGTTTAGCTTAGTATTATCTTCCCTCCTGGCTGAGACAACTTTTAAAACTGTTTATATTAACATGGCTTAGATTGTATCTGGTTACTTTTTAATAAAAACAGATACTTTAGAAATCTTAAAGTAAAGCAACTGAAGCAAAATGATCATGATATTAAGCAAGTAGGAACTGGAAAAGAGTTTTCTAAAAAGTAAGGCTGCTCAAAACCAGAAAAGGACTAAACATGTAAAAAGTAAGTTGAAACTATCAGTCAAACTATTGTTTTCCTACATCATGTTACCCATAGTTATAAAAATTGCCTGGTGATGAATCACTTGGAACTATTTTTAAATGCATCTACGCAAATGATATTTATAGTTTATGCCAGCTTATCTGTTCTGCATGGTTTACATGTTAGCACCTTTTTAAAGGGTGACAGGAACAGCCCGGCGGAGCAGACGGGCCCACCTTGTCCCATGCTCCCCTCACAGGCTCTGGGAGAAGGAAACATCTTCCTTCACTGCTGCTAGGTGAGCATCAGAACAGAGGCACAGGGATTCCAGAGCTGATCCCCAGCACCTGCAGATGATTCTCCAGGTATTATCCTTGTTGCAGTGGGGCTTCAACCCAGCCAACTTCTACTACACATCCTTTGACAGAGGCTGCATCTATCATGAAGAGCTAACATTGTAAATATGAGACTGTTCCACTGAGTGCACTGGGATTTCAGATTATCTCCACATTCCATGGAGATGTACATCCACATCAAGGCACACTCACCTGTACCCATACAGCCCAGTATAGAGGATCCTGCAGTTCCTTTGCTACATGGAAGTGTGATCAAGTCCAGAAGGAAAATGGTCCTTGCCTAGTCCAGCCATCCTATCATACTCTTCTCAGTCCTGAGATGCCTTTTCCAACCAGGAATTCCCTTCTCCTGCCCAAACACCTATGCAGATTTCTAATATCTGTTATTAGTTTTTTTTCTTTTGGCTTCAAGAAGATACAACAAAAGTTGAGTATATAGGATTAATGGCGAGGGTCTTCTGCATACTTTAATACCTTCTTACTGCATTTCAGTAATTGACTTATTATTTGACCATTATTGCACAGACCATTCTGAAAAATCACAACTAATCTGGAAACAATGAAAACAGAACTGTAATGTGTATTAATGATGCTTGCAGCTTTGGAAGACCATCTCCTCTTAGAGGCATGGGCAGGTTATTTATTTCTGCACCTGAAACACAAAGCA